ACCCATAATTAACTCCCCAGCTGCAAACACACCCCATAGCCATGTTGTTTCTCTTTCGAAGGTTTGAGTCTTCAAAACAAACAAAAAAATCAGTGGGCAATACTCCTAATAAATTCTGCTGCTGTAAACAAGTGCCTCACACAAGCACAGCAGGCAATTCATCACTATCACATGGCTCATAATCCTACCTTGTGTTCTTTTGTTACATCAGTTCTCTGCCTACACAAAACACACTCAAACACATTTGTCCACATGCACCCAATATATTTCAGTTTGTCCCAATACCCACATATTTCATATGTGACCAGGAACAAAGTACCTCCAACCTGGATTCCTTTACTTTGCAATTGGTAGTTCCCATGTTCAAGAACAGACCATGAAGGCCAGAGGTATTTTACAGAAAGGTATCAGAGAGAGATGATGTGAGTAGGTTTTTCTGATCATAAACACACCAGGATATGTATGGTGCCTCCTGTGCATTCACTGGTGTAAATAAGATCTGAATCAGGCCTTAAAGGTTACAAATTCTTTCATTTTAATTAACACATCTAGAAACACCAGTTGTCAGCTTTCATGTCCATGATGTGATCTGCTGGATACTGGCTATGTTGTTGCATGGCAATTTGGAAATTGTGTACTGAAGGCAACAGCTTGCATTCACACGGTATGATTAATGGAACACAATTATTGCTAATCATAGAAACTTTATACATTTGTAGATTAACTACCTGGTCCTACACTTGCTGGTAGTCTACCAAGAAGCAAAAACTCTGTTGAATTCATCTTCTGTATCTCAGTTGCTCTTCAAAGTAAAGATATGTATTTTATTTACACTTGCCTGAGGAATTAGATTCAGACCAACACTATTCCCAAACTGTTTTGAACAGAATAGCCACATATATGGGGCATATGAAATAGCAGAGGTTTTGAAATGTGAAAATGTGTTTTCCCCCAAGGCTTTATAGTGGGAAGGCCAAGATCAGAACCAATAAATTTTTTTGCTCACAGACACCGACACATGTTTCTGCAAAATGCTGTCTACTGAGAAACATTGTCAGAGCATCCTTAGGTGGGTATTGCTTATTAGTTCATGCAGAATTGCTTTGAGACTGATTTTCTTCCTCGTAATATGAGGTATAGAGAATCACTTCTTAAGATGATTTTTAATGGGTACATCATTAACTACTGTCACAATAAAAGGTACTTTATGTTTAGTAGACAAACGATTGCAGCCTTGATTCAGTCCATAATTTCTTCCTCTGAACAGGCCTATTTTTAATTACCGTGTTTGCAAATGTCAGCATTGCTACAGTAGGTACATGTTTCTGCTTGTGTCTGCCTCACATCTTTACACTGTGTGCAAGACTAACCTAGCATCCTTGATGTGTAGCTAATTATTCTTGCACGAACTCATGGGTGAATCTAATGTGCTTCCCTGTATTTCTATGCAACACATGGTCAGGGTTGTCTGCTGTGATTCAGTACTAGCTGATGTTCCTCACCAGGAGCAAAACATCCCTCATTTATGGAACAAAGCCAGAAAATTTGCTAAGAATTGCATTATTGAGGAGGAGTGGTTTGTGTTTTTTTTTCTAAAACTTGAACCCTTTGCTTTCTTAATGTCTTGCTGTCTTGCCAAATGCTAGCAACTACTTCCCACCTCTGGGTGGGGTCCATCCTGTCATTCAGATGATCAATGGACTATCACAGGCACTCAGCTAACTCTACAAATCACAACCTGTCCACTTGAATCCTCAGGCCAATTCAACAGCTCTACAACTGTGTGTGTCTTAGAGCCTAAAACGGCCAATGTGGAATTCTTCTCATTACCCCATTTCTTATTAAATCACACAGAAATGACATGCTTGAAAAAAATGGAGATTTGTTTCCACATAAAGTTATTTCCCATGAATGCTTTCATACATCCTTTGCCTAATATTATTTCCATAAAATGAAATACAGTAATAAAAAACCTGTGGAAAGCCATACATATTACCCAAGGGGATTTATACTGCAATGGTGTTCAGCTAGCTTACTCCAAAGGTCTCCTTCGGATCCCAGTGAAGAAGCCTGAAAATGTACCCTGCCCTGCTCACCTGTCAGAGTCAAAAGGAACAGCCATCAACACTCAAGGGTACTTAATGGTCACATTCAAACTTTTCATTGTGTTAATGACACAAGAAAGAATTCAAACAGGTACAGATAATACAGCACCATCCATCTGATATTCAAGCAATACTTACTATGCCCTTACTATCTGTGACCACCTGCCAACATTTCAGAGAAAATAAAGCCACAGTCAGTTACAAGTACTGTCACATAAAGCGGTTTATCACATTTGTTTTCAGGTTCATACCTTCTGCTACGTCTACTGAACATAGTACTGAATTATTATTAAAGTTTCAGAAAAAAGAACAAGCTCAGAAATTTCTGATGATAAACCTTTTCCTATTTTGTCCTTGGTTTCCAGTGTTTCAAAACTGCATTAACTGCAGTAGTACAGGTGGGTATATATTCACCCTGCTAATCCACTGAGTTCAGTTCAAGTTTATATGCTAAATACACTCCATGAAGGTTTTATCTTTCACCTGCACCTTCCTGTGCTCAGTGAGACTCCTCTATTCCTCAAGTATGAGGAGCACAAGATGGGGTAGAACCTGCCTTTTTAATTATCTTGTACCAAAGTAGCCCCATGATGGAGTTGAATAGATCAAAATCTCATATTTTAGAGCATCTTATTATCTAGGAAGATCACAAACGGAAGGAAAAGGTATGCTGAGCGTGCTATTGATTACAGCTATATTTGCCACACTGCAATAAGTTGAAACTTCACATACCAAATATTAAATTACTGAAATTATGCACTGGCTCATCTGCATCTATTTTTTATTCACTTTATTTGGCTGCACATTTTAATCTTACTTACACAGTGACTAACCAAAAGTAAATGACGCATTTCTAATATTATAAATATGAAAAATAGGGTGTGCTCAGGGACTGCAGTTGAATACATTAAAATCACTCAGTTTGCTAGTTAACATATTTCCATCCCTTTTATGTACAACCTTTCACATTCAGTTGGCAGACTGCAAATTCACGGCCTTAAAAAAACCCACCACTCTTGATTTTCTGTTGTGACAGCAGAAATTGTCCAAAAATTCTAACAGTTTCCCTAAAGGACGCTCACTCACTGGTACTTCCCAGGTGCAGCACAATTGGAATCTGAGGTGAACATCATGTCAAATTCCACTCATCTGTCAATGTAGTGGATTATTTCTTGAGAGACTGAAATTGGCTGCCTGGGATCAGAACACCATCAATCTTATTCATGCAGGGTGTGGAAAAGCTGCCTGAAAAAGGCTTGCAAGAGGAAAAGCTTGGCTGTTTCTAAGTAGGTGATGAGGCAGCTGTAAAACCTTCACTCTCTCTGTATCACATCTCTGAGTGAAAGATTTTGTCATTTTTCACATTTCCCCAACACTTGGTATGCATTCAGTGTCTTGTTCTTGCTTCATAAAAAAAGGTGATTTTTCAAACTTAGGCAAATGCAGCAGAGCCCCGAACCTGCCCAGCTCCCATTTTTTCTCATAACGTCCCTTGTTTCAATTGATTTTACAAAACAAGATTACATTTTCCTTTTACCTTTCTGTTTAGCTGGGCTGTTTTTTCCTATTTCCTTCACCAAGGGACAGACTCAAATAACAGCAGCATTACTTACAATTGCACCTAGTAAGTATTTTGTTCATTTCTCTGCAAGTCCCAAATAAGAACATGGCCACTCTGACTTCAAACTCTCAAGCTTCCAGTGCCAGCTAGTAAAGATCACACCATGAGTTAAGCTGATGCTCTAACATAGCTACTGAGAGTCGGTCTATCCACGATTTAGGTCTATTCCTTTACCTTGTGCATATTTTATTACAAGAAAGCAAGACAATGCCAATACCTATGACTTTTGGACACAAAGTAGGTGGGAAAACTGAGTCATTAAGGCTGCTAAAAACCTGCAGTTCAAGACCATCAATCCTTGAAGGTAAGCCATTAGACTAAAAAACATTTAAAATATTAGTTCCACATTAAACAATTCAACACTGCAAGTTAACACTTTCCATCTTTCATTTCTGAAGCTCTTAAAACCTCTCCCACCTTTCTTTGGATCCAAATTAGCAAAGCAACGTTCTTGGCCCATCTAATTTTAACTAGATGATAATACTGTGCTAGAATATGCCAACTCCTCAATTTTTAACATGGCACATATTCTTCAAAGTGCAATTAATAGTTGAAAGAGATACAAGATCCATTTCTATTAATAAAAACACAATAAAATGACTTCTGTGCAGATGTGGATCACAACAGTCAAAGCGAGCTGCATTCTCAACTGCTAGCCTGTGGGGTTTATTCTGACTCTACAGCCATTTAACTCCATTGAAAGACAGTTCCACATCCTCCTCTGGGCTGCACGTTTGCAACCCCATCAATTTTCAGAGGTCAGCTTGAGAACTTTAGAATAACTGTATGTCTCATTTACACTAAAGCAAACACCCGACCTCCAGTAAACAGTAGAGACTATGGAGGAGATTTGGTGCCAGTATTTAAAGTATAGAGACCTGTGTCCAGTTTGGGTCAGATAACTGCAAAGTTATCCAAACCTGTGCTGTCATAACATCTTTCCGAGTTATAAATCCACTCCAGAACTGTGTGAAATGGGGAGAAGGGGAGATAGAAATAAGGACAGAAACTAAACTGTTATCCAAAATGGGATTCCTGTGTTGGGAAGTTGTTAGGAGATGACATTAAAGGATGAATATTCCAACGTCTAATTGGCAAACCACAACACATGTTAGACCGACCAAAAAAAGATGCTGTGCAATAGGAAGGCAAGCAACTCAAAAGCTAAATGATAAGATGGATTTTATGATTATTCAATCACTTATCAAGACAGACATGAGCACAGGCAGAGAGTGTGCAACCTTAGAGCATCCCACAGCTGATCTCAGTCCTACCTGGTCTGTGCAGGTGATGCTGCTGGAAAGTGTGATGGAGGGACCCCTGACAGAGCAGCATTGCACAGGCACTTATCCACAAATACAGGACCCAGGACATTGCAGAGACCACTGCCATTCTCTAAACAAAATATTAGACAGACATTATTATCCATTGCCTCACAGCACACAGAATAATCAGCTTCCATTACAACAGTATTTAATTATTTTTTTAAAACTCTTTTTGCTAAATGTCTTCTGTTGCCTAGTACTCCCCCCCCTGCAGGATGCTATTGTCATACAACAAAGGTCATGTCCAAAAAGGATAGTTGAGGTAACAAGATATCAACACAGGAGCCTGGAAAACTTTAATAATTCACAGGTAAAAATGAAAATGTAATGATCTGAATACTAAGGAAAACCAAAGCCAGTATAAACAGAAGGTTGGAAAATATTCCCACACTGGTCCATCACTGAATTTACAAGGGAGTTAAAAAAAAAATCACCCTGCCAGCTCAAAAAACGTGATGCCGAGACAGTATCAAAACTACTTTAAACACAATACAGACAGGCATACAACATCCTCAGATATCTGAGATGCATTTCAAAAATACTCCATCCCCAAGACTGGAAGGCTAATACTGACCCAGAAGGTAAGTTTATTGTTTTTGACTTTTGCAAGCATTAATTTTTAATCACGATATGTCTGCTAAACAAAGTAATTGTTTCTCAGAATTATGTTCTAACCCCGAGATGAAATCAGCTTCCTTTTGTTCGACCTGTGCATGCAGAGGGACTGGAGTATGGCCAGACTGAATTTCTGATCTATTCTATAGAAGATTTGATCTTTTCACAAAACAGATTGCAATAGGAATCTTTTTAAAATTTTGACACAAAGGGAAAGAGCAATTTCTTTGTCTCCCAGTGCTGGCATGCTTGGCCATCCAATGTAGACAACTGTGATTTTTCAGGCTTGTATTCATTATTGTACTAACTGGGTAAATTTCCCTCTGAGTTTTTAACTTGAACAGTTCTTTCTCAATTCCTGCAAGGACTGGAAGGTTTTGCAAAGCTCAGCTACGCTACACATTGTCCAGTTCCCTTAACAACACCTTCTGCTGCATTTCATATTGCCAAATTAATCAAACTTCAGGCACTTTCCTTATTCAGCCAATGACCTGATGCAGTTTTCTATCTAATAATCCAATCAGCTGAACATCATTTTCATAGAGCAAGAAAGACTTGGAAAGATTAAATCTCACATAGAAAAATATCATCTTTAAATAAAAAATAAAAAGTCTGTATGCGATACATCAGTGGGATTCCTGCAGTAGGAAAATTAACAATTTTAATTAAAATAATTTTATTAAAATAATACGCATATAATATTAAAATATATGCATATAAAATATTTTTTGCCTGTGATTTTAAAGAAGCAGACAATCTCTGGGAAGCTTTAAGTCTAATTGGCTGAGAAGAACCACATAAACTGACAAGTATAATTCATAGAAAATACCAAAACATTACTTTAATCAGCATGAAGTTCTGCCTTTCTCTGTACTGTTAAATGCACTGCTTAGCATATAATTTATTTCCTTTCCAACTGTTTACTTTGCAGCATACAGTGCACTTTTTCTCCTCTCTTTTTAGACCTATTTATCTTGCAAAATATATTCAAACCCTTCGGATCAGGGAGCTCCCAGCAGGCTTCCCGTGTCTTCAGGAATTAATGCCTTCTTGTCATATTTGGTGCTCCCATGCTTTTTATACAATAAGGTAAGAGGGAAAGGTGACTCTCACAGAGGGATATTTCAGGTATTCAGGTTATTTAAACTGATCTTTAAAAAATCCTAGCCAAACAGCCAAGCAAAGCCAAACTTCTACAGCCTGCTAAATGCTCCTGTGTCTTTCCTCGGGCATTGTATTCTTAACCACATGGACAGCAGACTTACTTTAACCCACTCAGGCTTTATTATTAACTCTATTTTTTTTTTTAACAAAAACCTCTCGCAAACTACACTATTTCAAACTACTTTTGCTCAAAACCCAGGATTTCTTCTAAACATTTCTTCATGCACTTTTTTTTCCTCAGGAAACTGCTGTCACATACACTCTTTTACACACAGATCATCCTATCATTAGTAAAGAAACACAGCAGCGAGTATTACTCCAGCTATGATCTGACTAGTGCCAGATCTGCTTTCTGAATCTTAAATCCTAAAGAAGCTCCTTACCTGAGTAATCCAACCAAGAGCAGAGTACTCTATTAGTGTTCATTGGAAAGATCTAACACTTCTTTAAATCCATCTGTATCACAATAAGGGATTTTTTTTTAATAGCTTCCCAATAATCTTCTTTATCAGGATTAAAAGAAGAAAAAAAATCTTTCATTACAAATCCTGTTTCCAGAGTAAAGAAGACATCTGAGCTCTCAGATTCCACCGTCAGAAAAGTGGCCAAGGTTTGAATGGTGGAAACCTTCTCATTTTCACCTTTAAATCATCTCCGAGCATCACCTTCTGTTTGATGAGACCTTTGAAGCAATCTTGAGACAATTTGCAGCTTCCAGGGTACTTAAGGACGAGGAGCAGTTTATGTTTAACAACAGAGCAGTCTCACTCCAGCGCGGGCAGTGCAGAGCAAGGCAGCTGTATGTACACCGCTATACGATGCTGTAAGTACCGTAGCCTAGTTCAGTACATCCCTGCTCGGGAAAGTATCACATGCCTTAAAGCAACACAGCCCTCGGTTGCAAGCCCCAGCCAGGCGCTCCGCTAGTTGCCGGGGCTTAGCAACTGGAGCTGCATTTAAATACCAGCACTCGGACTTTGCACAGAGCAAAAGAGCAGCTGGGTTTGTCTGCGAGGAGCAGGTATGAATGGGCAGAGGAGGGCGGGAAGGCAAAGCCGTTGGAGAGGCGAAGGACTCGCAATAGCCAATGAGCAATCCGGGAGATGCGTTAATTCTGCCGGCAGAGGCTTTATTCCTGCACTTGTTCGCAAGAAGCAAGTGAGGCTTAAGGGAGTCTCTCCCATTTCACAGGAGAGCAGCACATGCTTGTGAAGAGGGAGGGTGGTGCAGGGGAAGTGTGACAAAACACACGGGCGAGACAGGGGAGGGCAAGAGACTCCTCCACACTCCCATGGGCTTTCCAACACCTTGCCACAACTCCAGTGAAATCTTTCCTTCCAACTGCATGTCCAATGCATCTCAGCAGACAATGGAGAGAGAGCTCTGATTTACTCCTCCTAAATGCTAAAGCTCAGATATGCCAGATTATTTGTTATTTATTGTCCACGTCTTAAGTGGCCATTTACAGGAATGGAGTGGTTTCCTCTCCCTTTCATACCATGTGTAATTATTTTTTAAAGAGCAATTGTATAGACTTAATATTCACTTAGCATTATGGCTCTCATGTCTGCCTACAAAAGAAAGGAGGCTTGGGGACAAAACAGAAACTTCCATCTTAAGAGCTCAGTATGGGATTTTTTTCTGTTCTTTGATAACCTGTGGTAGAAGAGTGTACTACCTTCACTGCTTACTAACTCCAGATACTGAACAATAGTAAATAACAGTAATAAGTACCCTTACTCTCAAGTACCTCCTTCTCAGCACCCAAGGACATACATCTCAGTGGAGACTCTCACCAAGAGGTGCAATGAGTTTACTTGACAGACTGTGCACCACTTTGGAGCCGCTGTGTTTTATCAGGTAACACATATTGAGATATCAGCCCTGCAGGCTGACAGGAACATTACACTGGCCTCTGCCACAGTGCTCAAAGCAGCTCTTATTATAGCCTCGAAACAATAAAGCATCTTGGGGGGGTGACAAAATGACACAGGAGAGCATTGGTAAGTGAACCCTCTCCATGCCTTAGGCCACCACTGCAGCACAGCTCCAGCAGGTCCCCAAGCAGCCCCGGGGAGGAGAGGGTGGCTCAGGACAACCCTTGTGGTGACCAGAGATGCTTTCAAGATGTCAACTTTTTTTTTTTCAGGTGCTTCTTATGAAAACACATGGCACAAGTATGGTTGGGAACATATGTTCTGTTTAAATAAAGTCTTGTTTTCACCAAGAATTTCTTAAGTACTGGAAGGCATCCAAGAACAGGGGCAGTTGCTGCTACTTCCTGGCCACAGAAGGGTCTAGAAGTGTCCAAGAAAGCCGATGAGAGGTAACCAAGGCACACCAAGTACAAGTACTGATGAGCAATGAACCAGGACCTGGGATCAAGTGCAGCCCACAGCAGAAGGTGGTGGGTGGAGGGCTCCTGTGGTTTGCTGCCAAAGCCACAGGTAGGCTCCAGACCTTCCCTCTTTCCATGGGAACAGAGGGAGATTTCTGTAGCACCTGAGGGACAGGTGATCGGAATTTATTTTAAAAATAGCACAAGTTTAATAAGATGTGTTCCCTCTAGGACTCATGGAGAAGCTATGAGGTAAAGAGTATGGATTGGGGAGGTGTGAAAAAAAGAGGAGAGAGAGAGGGGCCTCAAGAAGCAAATAAAACCTTTAGGAAACTGAATGGCCTTGTGGACAGCAGGGAGAATCAGAAAAATTGTGGCCACACACATTGTCAGAGTAGGCAGAGACAGATTTATGCAAGATACAGATTTATGTAAGGTACAGCAGAACTGTCACTCTGCCAAGCACTGCTAACTCCCAGCTCCATGAGGCTAATGCCACCATAACCCCTGACAGATGCTGCTATTGCTCAGGACAAGCTCTGTAGAAACATGGGACATGTTGCTTCTGTAGGGTAGGGGGGAGATCAGAGGGACAGAAGAGAATATTAAACAGGCTGTGCATGCAGTCTCTTCCCTGCCCTGGCTCCCAGCATCAGACAGGAACAGATGAGTCCTTGGCAAATCTTGCAGAAGCATCCTCACACCTGCTTTGATGTCTTCGCTGCCAATTTTAACTTTCAGTGGACCAACAAGACATGAAACAGCTCCTCTTACTCTGCTTTGAGCCAGGCAGAGTGTCATCTTCACCTGATGCTTTGGTTAGCCTCCTCACTTCAGGAGCCACTGGCTTTGACAGGATGATGCTTCACATGTGCCCATGGGCCCACGTGTTCCATGTGGGGCTACTAAAACTGACACATTGGAACGAAAATAGACAGGAAAAATAGACACTGAACAGTCTGCACATTTCAAAATCCTTTGTCATCAAAGAAGGCTGAAAGAGCAGTTTGTCTCTAGAAAGGGAGATAGGGCAAAAGGCTGTGTCAGCCATTGCGTGCAACAACAGCTCTCTCCAGCACTGAAGCAGGATGAATCCAAGCCCTGCAGAGGGGCAGAACAGCCCTTGGGCTATGTGCTCTATGCCTGGCTGCTGCCTGGGCAAGTGTCAAAAGGAAGCCCTTCCACCTCTGCTCTGATACCTGATGGCAAACAGAAGAAAGGACAGAGACCAGGACCTGAGCTGCCCTAGTCAGAGAGCACAGAAAACTGCCTGTCCACAGCTCTGATGGAAAGACTCCATGGGGTTGCTGGCAGGGTTGCCAAAAGCGGACCATCACACTGGTGTGATATTTCCAAGGTGAAGGTAGGTTGCAAGGGGTCAGCAGACAAACTGCCTTTGAGACAGGCTGCCTCATGCACAAGGAGTGTATTCACAAGGAGAATAGCCTTCTCCTCCTGGTTCCACCATTCATCTAGAGATGCCAAGTGAATGACAAAAATAGGCAAATAAAAATAAATGCTCTTCGCTGCCTGAACATCTATTTATCACAATTTTCTGTGCATACAAAAAAGGAGAGCATATGCAACTCAGGCAGACAGCAGATTGGTACTTGCACCCAAATAAGGGCCTCTGGCCTCTACTTTTGCATGCTGCCTCCTCTGCCTCTCTCTCCTCCTCCTCACACATCTTTTCCCCATGTAGAGATTTAACATGACAAATCCCAGGCCTGTATTGTACAGGGTCTGAAGAAAGCTCACCACTTTTGAAATGCAAAGCTCATTACTTCTAGTGCTCCTGGGACAAGGAAGCTTTGCTTTTCACAGATTGTGTTCTTCATCCCTCCCAGCTGATTCCACCCACCCTACAAAGCTCTTTCCTATAGACCCAAACTCAGTCTTGGCTGCTGCCTGGGCAACAGACAGTGCACATTGCAGCTCCTCAGCACCTACATGTTCTTACCTCAGGTGAACCAAATGTACTCCAACAGCAAGTTTTGCCTTACCTCAACTGAAAAGCAAATTACTGACTCTCTTGTCTAACATCCACAACACTTACAGAAGCTTTTTTTAAAATCTGATGGAGCAGAAGTTCTGCTCAGCCCACCCAGCCTCTTATTTTTCCATTGAACACTAGCCCAAATCAAAAACCAGCGGTTGAATGCGCGAACATTGACCTACCTACATGTAACAACCTGAACAGCAACCACAAATCCCACAGTAAAACCTGGGTCCTAAGCATCTCCACACTTCTGTCTCTTGGTTTCTTTCCCCAGTGGAAAAGGGGGCAAAAATGCTAAAGCAGGATTCTTCTGGGACAGAAATCACACAAGATTATCAGCTTCCTAGAAATCAGCAGCAGACACAGCTTTGCCCTGACAAACACTCATATGCTGCATTCAATGTGTACAAGCATAGTAATGTTTGACATTTTACATGTGCATCCCTTGCGTTCAGCCAGATGCTCACAGTGGTGCTCCACTTCCTTTCCAGTACTTTCAATATATTTCCAGGAAAACTTGCCCTACCCTGAGACTTCCCATTCTCAGTCCTCATCACTTTTCCTCCTCTCTTGAAGGAGGTCTGGTCCAACTGCAATGTCTAAAATGAACCTATTTCCTTTGCTTTCCATGTCTTCTACAACAGCATTAAATCCTGTAGTCTGTATTGTCAGGCTTTCTTCTCCTTTGGCTTTTCCAGTGGAAAGAGAAAATGCATTAATTTTCCTAGGGGCAACCATGCTGACCATGAAGAGCTCAGAAAGCTACACAGTTTTTCATGAAGGAAGAGCATCAAAGATTTGGCAACTCATCTGGCTGTGACCACAGCCTCTGCTGGCCAACCACAAAAGACTATACACACCAAAAGCCTGAAAAAGCAGAGCTGAACAACATGTGCAAGAAAGCCATTTCCCATGGGAGCCCAGGGGCTGGTTGAGACAGTTACTGCCCCACCTCCAGTAGAGGGTACCAGGAAACTCGCTCTGTTCCCAGCATGAGTGCAGCTACATAGGTATAGGGGACTGGCCAAGGACACAGCAACACCAGGGAACAGCACAAC